TGCCTGGGCTGCCGGCGCCATCTTGGTTGGCAGTTAATTTGCATATCGCCCTGATTAGCCAATGGGAAGCGTGTCGGAGGTATGGTTAATTACCATGTTTGTCTATTATTAGATAGGATAGGCTAGTGGCCTGGTACACGAAATTCATGCACATTAAAAGAGAATAATTAGAGGAAATATTTTAATATTTCTATTTACCCTTTCACTATAATAGAAGTGTCAGAGATGAAAGAAAATTAGTAAAATGTATATGAAAATCTTTCTCCTGTTGAGTTTGGGGCACACCATGGGACCTAGACTCAAGTCCCCACTCACCACCGGCATGTGCTTCGAAAACACAAGAGACCCAGACCCGACCGGCCCTACTGCCATTGGTTGAGACCCAGACCTGGCCGGCCCCACCCCCATCAAGCCCCTCCAGGTGGGGGTGCAGTCTCAGGTGCACCGACCCGGTGCTGGGGCAGGGGACATGGGCTGAGGTCCCCTGTCAAGCCCCACTGGGCGGGGGTCGTGGCCTGAGGTCCCCTGTCAAGCCCTGCCAGGTGAGGGCTGAGGCCTGAGGTCCCCATCAAGCCCCACTGGGCAGGGGGCACAGCCTGAGGTCCCTGGGCCTGGCACTGGGGCAGGAGGCGTGGCCTGAGGTCTCCTGGCCCGGCATCAGGGGGAGGGCGCAGCTTGAGGTCCCCTGTCAAGCCCCGTGGGGCAGGGGGTGCGGCCAGGCACCATGCAGACTCAGGTCCCTGCTGTTTGGTCGTGATGTTATGGCGTCCCAGCTAATTTGCATATTCATCTATGATATAGATAGATTATATAATTTTGATCTCTAGAGTTACTTTAGAAATACATTATGTTCCCAAAGCTTATTTCTCTTGATTTATTTGCCCAGTTAAGATAAAATTCAACTAAGAAATATTGAGGAAATGAGAGCCACTAACATTAGCCAGAGTAGAGAATGGATTCTAAAAGTAAATGTGTTATGAGTAGAGAACATCCAAGATGAGATGTGGTTGTAATATTATTATTTTTTATTAGGGTGATATATGGGAATGGAGGAAGGGAGAGGTGATTTTATGGTGACTGACATAAAATTATCAATCAATGATTTTCTGGCTGAATAAAAGGATTCATATATTTTTAAAATGTGTTTTTCTCTTACTATTCTTTTTAAAATGTTTTTATTTAATATAGAGAGTGTGTAAGGGAGAGGAAGAGAAAGAAACATCCATGAGAGACATCCAAACATCCTCCTGCATGCCCCCTACTGGGGATGCAGCCTGAAACTGGGGCATGTGCCCTGACAGGGAATTCAACCAGTAACCCCCTTCCCCCTCCATGCAGAGACAATGCTCAACCAATTGAACCACACTGGCCAGCACTGTTTCATGTTTCATTATGCATTTTTAAATGAATATATCTTAAAGAGCTCTGTTTTTCTAAGTCATTTATTCAGCATTTTTTCTAGGGATAAAAAGCAATTTTTTTATCCCATAGAATGTCTGAATATTCTATAGATATCTCAATGTCAGATTTACTCTCCTGAGTAGATTAAAATTCCAAAAAGCTTTCCCCCTTTTCTCCTTTTATTTCCCCCTTTTTCTCTACCACCAGGGGGCACATATCTCATCTTCTCTTAGAAGTTACTAGAAAAATACGGGAAATGTGGGCTATTTCCAGTCTGTCCAGTTATCTACCCTGATCTCAAAGTAGATTCTCTGCAATCTTATGGTTGCCTTTGGTATGGGAAGATGTCTGTCTTTTTTCAAACATTCCTTTTTACTATTGTGATTATCTAGAACCATGTATAGTTGTTGTTGTTGTTGTTGTTAATCTTCACCGGAGGATAGTTTTTCATTTATTTTTAGAGAGAGTGAAGGGAGAGGGAGAGACACGGCGAGAGAAACATCGATCTGAGAGAGACACATTGATTGGTTGCCTCCTGCATGCGCCCCTACCAAGGCTGGGAATCAAGCTTGCAACTGAGGTACGTGCCTTTGACTAGAATTGAACCGGGACTCTTAAGTCCACAGGCTGATATCCACTGAACCAAATCAGCTAGGGCTATAGTTTGTTTTTTTATTATGACCTGAATCATCTCACCATACCAAACTAAGGACATGGCTTTACGATCTGTCCTATCAAATGCTTTGGTAACATGTACTACACCACCTTTCGATAATTCTGCAGTTTGGTAAATAAGATGTTCACTCGGATCATAGAACTCCATGGTCCCACCACATCTTTACTTTTCTTTATTCTTTTCCAAGAAGAGAAACAACCTGAACTCCTGGGAGGTCCCTAATTGACTTTAGCTCCAAAGAAAACAGGATGGTATTTTGAGGTAGGTTTGGTCAAACAGGATAGGTTTGGATTCTGTTTAATTGTTATTCTGGATTTAAGTTTATTTAAAAACAAACTGATTTATTTTTCTAAGTTGAATATTCCCCCTTACCTTAGAGTTAAGAGGGGTTACATGCCTCAAAAGATGCCTATTATCTAGGCCTGTGTGGTCCATTAAAAGGCTAGAAGCTGCAGGCTTTGCACTGGATAGCATGCATACATTTTGGCTTCTTGGATCTTTTGAGAAACTTGCAAGACTTTGGTTTTTAGGGTTCAGTCCCTCAAACATTCCAGACCCATCTACATGTGAGTTACTGCTTCCTCCAAGGATATTTTTCAGTCCCCAGAAATTCCCTCTCTTTCTGAAATCAGGACATTTCTTCTTTCTCTTTCATCTCTGTGAGACTTTCTAAAATAATCCAGGTCCGTTTTAATTAAATTCAAGAACAAAAGTCTCTAGAAGAGACTTTTGCTTTTCTTTTAGAAAAAGAGAAGAAAAATGATTCTAATTTTCCTGATGAGCCCTCAGAAAAAGTAAGTACTGTTTACTTTTCTTTCTGATTGTCCTGTCCCCTTGGCTTAGTAACCGTCCATACTTTAATGGTGTTAGAGACTCCTGAGTGGACATTTAACTATTCTGGTTTAAAAAACGAGCTCCAAGCCTAGCAGACACTGCCTGTGCCCAGCCATGGTCAACCTCACCATTACCTTCCATTTGACATTATTGTCCTCAGGGGCCCTTGGGCCAGTCTCCTTCGAGCTGTTTGGAGACAAGATTCCAAAGACAGCAGAGAACGTTTGTGCTGTGAACACTGGGGAAGGAGCATTTTGTTATAAAGGTTTCTGCTTTCACAGAATTATTCTGGAATGTATATGCCAGGGTGGTGATTTCACACATAAATGACACAGGCGGCATGTCCATCTACGGGGAGAAATTTGATGATGAGAATTTCATCCTGAAACATATGAGCCCTGGCATCTCGTCCATGGCAAATGCTGGACCCAGTACAAATGGTTCCCAGTTTTCCATCCGTACTGCCAAGTCTGAGTGGTCGGATGGCAAGCATGTGGTCTTTTGGCCAAGTGAGAGATGGCGTGGGTGTTGTGGAAGCTATTGAAGCTTTGGGTCCAGAATGGCAAGACCAGCAAGAAGGTAACCATTGCTGACTGTGGAGAACATGAATAAATTTGATTTGTGTTTTATCTTAACCACCAGACCATGCCTTCTGTAGCTCAGCAGAGCACCTCTTCACCCCGATCTGCTCAGAATGTCCTATAATCTGTGTGATCTTGCTGCAGTTTTTGGGGTTTCATATTTTCCTCATTACCCTCCAAGTTTAACTGGATTGTAGAGTTAAGTTTATGATTATGAAATAAAAGTTAAACAATAACAAAAATTAATTCCAAGAACTGGGATTTTGTGTGTAGAGGTCTCTTAGATCGCAACATTTTTATTTTTGCCTGGCTAGAAGTTTATCAATTTTTAAAGAACCATGAGAACTGGGATTTTGTGTGTAGAGGTCTCTTAGATCACAACATTTTTATTTTTGGTTTGCCTGGCTAGAAGTTTATCAATTTTTAAAGAACCAGCTTGGATTTTATTAATTTTCTTCACTGATTTCCTCTTTTCAGTTTCATTGATTTTGCTATAATTTTGATTATTTCTCTCTTCTACTTGCCTTAAGCTTGCATTGCTCTTCTTTTCCCATTTTCCTAGAGTAAAAGGTTGGATTGTTGATTTTAGATGTTTCTCCTTATCTAATACATACTTTTAGCACTATAAATTTCCATCTAAGCACTACTTTTGCTGGATCCCACAAGTTTTATCAGTTCTATTTTAATTTACATTTAGTTCAAGATATTTTTAAGTTCTTTGAGATTTCTTTTGTAGCCCATTAATTTTATTTTTTGAATAATTATAAAGAAAATATTATTCAGAGTTTATTAAATACCAAATTGGCCCTAATCGGTTTGGCTCAGTGGATAGAGTGTCTGTCGGCCTGTGCACTCAAGGGTCCCAGGTTCAATTCCGGTCAAGGGCATGTACCTTGGTTGCAGGGGCAGGGGCTGAATGTTTCTCTCTCATTGATGTTTCTAACTCTCTATCCCTCTCCCTTCCTCTCTGTAAAAAATCAATAAAATATATTAAAAAAATACCAAATTGAATATTTATTAAATATCAGCCACAATAAATAAGCTAAAAAATCAAAGTTTTGTATTTTGTATAGTATAATAAATCAATTTCTGTTTATCCTGGTTTAATTACTGTGCAGAAAAAAAATGCCATATATTTTATTATAAATATTTATGCTATATTGAATCTAAGCCATTAAGATAAATAATTTAATTTTTGTTTTTAAGTAGGCTTCTAGAAGGCGAAGTATATTGCTATTTAAGAGGGATTTATGTATGGATTATTCATGTTAAACAGTGTCTAGCTCATTACAATGTTAGACTTATCTCCTCTTCAATACTATAACTATACACTACGTATCTCTATGTATGTATTGCAAAATGTGGTCAGAATTAAACAAAGGCCTCACTTGACTTAATCCACTCAAATAAATTATACCTAAATATGTGTGATTTCAGAGAGAGGAAAGGAGAGAGAGAGATAGAAACATCAATGAGAGAGAATCATTTATTGGCTGCCTCCCATACACCCCCCCACTACTGGGGATTGAGCCTGCAACTTGGGCATACTGCCTCCCATACACCCCCCACTACTGGGGATTGAGCCTGCAACTTGGGCATGTGCCCTGACTGGGAATGGAACCATGACCTCCTGGTTCATAGTTTGATACTCAACCACTGAGCTACCCCAGCTGGGCTATATCTAAATATATATTTTTTAAAATTTCCCAGAATTTGTATCACTGAACTGAGCTGTTTACGTAAGTCTGTGCTTGGTTCTGCTAGCACAGTAGATGCAGCTTTCTCCTGCTCACTCTGCCTGCCCTATGGAGTACTTGCAGCGCAGCATTTTGAATCCAAGGATGGAGCTCCATGCTCTTTCTGACTTCAGGACGTTGTACTTCCTTCCCTGCATGTCCCTTCCTCCTTTTACTGCACTTCAAATTACCTGGGCAGTGAACAATATTTCTTATCCTATTTTCAAGAATTATCTCCTGGTTCTGGTCGGTTTATCTAATATTTGACCTCTTACTTCTCTTGACCTCAGTTATTTGGGTGAGGAAAAGGCCCTTTTTATAAAATCAAGAAAAAAGGAATGGCATGAGAGGGGATGGGCCCCTGTTGACATTCCTTAGTTTTTCTTATGTTTATAGTTGAAAGAAAAGCATTTAAGCTTTGTTGGCGGCTTCTTTAAAGTAATAAATAAACCTTCTGGGAATAAAGATAACCTCTCAATTATTATGAAATGCTAACTCCTAAGTATGTTCCATTACAATAAATTATCTAGCTTTTAAGGAGATTTTATTTTATTTATTTGTTTATTTTAAAATTGCATTTATTGGGGTGATATTGGTTAATAGGATCATATCGGTTTAATGTGTAGATCACCCAAAGTCAAAGGACTTTTAGAACTTGGACAAGGAGAATCATTTCTAGAGTGAGGTGAAGAGATTTTCTTTTCTTTCCACAGCGTGATTACAAAACGTTTCTCCTGCCATCTAATGCTTTTCAAAATCATAGTGCAGGGAAGAATCTACCCACTTCCTCTGTTGAAAAAGGAAGGAACTGAAGTCATTAATGGTTCTGATGAGATTAGGAAATTCATACTCTCCCAGCCCCAAAGAGAATATGTTAAAAGTTTTAACAGCTTAAAAGTCTCTCTCAATTTCTCTCTGTGTTCATTAAGAAAACACATGAGAAATTCCCATATGGAAAGTATGGATTTTTCTTTCCCCTAATCATATAAAGTAGCTTCTTATTTCTCCTCTCCTTTCTACGGGAGTGAACTGGACTAAACCACAGGCAACTGTCTGTTGAGTACATTCCTTGCATCTCCACCGCCAGTTAATTGCCCTGTGCTCAAATACAAAGGTAATCAGCTCTTATGCTTCTAGAAATGCATTGACCCCTTCCCCTAAGTACCTATCCCAAGCCTTCCAAAGTTTCTAGGCACTTTTTTCAAGGATTCACCATCTGTAATGAAGATGGGGGAGGCAACAATCACTAAGAGCAAAGCCCACAGCTGCGGGAGAAACATTGCCAAGATAAGAGCAGCTTTGAAGGATACACCCAGCGATCACGTTAGCAAGCGTGGCTAAGGCTTCTGCAGGCTTGGGGGAAGCTGTGCTTCCATATAACATTATATTGCAAACCTAAGGGTCGCATTCGAATGAATTGTTTATATTCCCTGTGGGACACCAAACAAAAATTTCTTTCAAAACAATATTTAATTTACAGTGCTCACTTAGGCTTTGGAGTAAACATTATTTTAGGATCTAGGAGAATCAGGGACAATGATTTCCACAAATGTCTTATGTAAAAATGAATGCCTTAGATGGATTCAGCATAATCACACTATTGCCTTTTCTGCAAATGTTTTCCAAAGGAATGGGTAACCTTTAGGCCAGTAATTTACTCTGTGATATATCATTTCAACTAAAATCTAATCTTTGTTTTTCTGTTATATTAAGTTTCATTTACTTTGGAATCATTTCTTTCCCTAATTTATGCAAGCCTAATTTATAATGTTTGTTGAATTTTTAGTTTTCTTTATGCTATATATTTCCTCTATGTCCTTGAGCACTGCTTATAAAAAATTACATATCAGAAGCTGATACAGACATTGGTAATATATGAAATTCATATATATTCATGCTGATGCATGGAATTTAAATAAATATCTAAATTTTAAACTTTAGATTTTGTGGTGGTCTGTATAATTTTCTTGTTGCAGTCCTGCCTTCTCAATTATATTTTTTCGTGGACTAACATTAAATGTAGTTTCCTTTTTGAAGAATTCATACTGGGAAATAGACCAAATGAGGCAGCCTCAAGCTGCACCTGTTCAAAGTAGATGGGAAATACATGCTGGCTGAGTGAGTAAGTGAAGGGATGTTGTTAATTAAAGCCCTTTAGAAAATCAGAGTTAAAAAAAAGATTTATCAAATATCAATAATTGAGAACATAATATATTTAATGTAAGTAATTGAGAATATTTTTAAAAGGTCATTATTATAGCATATTACTATTTGTTTTTCACTATGCTAATGAAATATATGTATATAATAATTTTAATTTATTTTCAAAACATTGTTATGAATGTTTATTAAATATTAAATTTACCAAGATAATATATAAGAAATAAGGCCACAATTTTCAACAGTGCACAGTTTCTACTAAAGTAATTTTAAAGCTTCTGTTCTCACTCAGTTTTTGTTCAGCTGAAATGCTCATTGATACTGATCTGAAATGCTGTTGAATCAAAAGACAGAAAGAATGAAAGTCTACTTTTGTTCACAGGTTTAATCCTTACATTTTTTCTCTGCCAAAATACATTCGTCAAAAATCTCTCTAGCCATATGTTTATAACAATTACCCCTGGCTATTTTGAGAATGGAACTACTTTAATATCTTTACTCCATGTAGCCTGGGATATTTCTGTAGTATCTAGAGAGGCTTAGCTGATACACTCAGGATATGGTAAAGGCTAATTTGAGAATTGTTACCTGAAAAAGATGTTGTAGACATTGAGCAGGAAAATATTGTAAATGTCCACTTCTACTTTTATTTCACTGCTGCTCCATGAATTAAAAACAACAACAACAACACATTTCTCTAAAGTTGAATCTTTAAGTTGTTTTTGAGCATTTAACTCCAATAAGCATTTTTATCTCTAAAATTAATTAATAAAAGAAAAATTATTGGAGCCAATTTTTTTTAGTTATTTTTCTTGATAACCTATTTTCATGTTTTTCAAAGTGGTAGTACTGATGTACAGTGCTAACTGGGTATGGTCTATATGTGATAGTAAGTAGAAATTTTCCCAGAGGGAGCTATAGAAAAAAATTGATCTTGTCTGAGGTTATGCACCAGCTGTAATTCAGAGTATAATATATTAGTACACACCTAGAAGACTATGTTCCCCCAAACCCTTAAAACAGTTTCAGAAA